TCCTCCCATTCTCTCTCCTCCTCTCCTCCTCCTCCTCTCCTATAACCCTTCTTCTTCTCCTTCTCTCTCCTCCTCCGCTCTCCTCCTCCTCTCTCCTCCTCTCCTCTCTTCTCCTTCTCTCCTCCCCCTCTCCTCTCTCCTCCTCCTCCCCTCATCTCTTCTCCTCTTCTCCTCTGTCCTCCTCTCTCCTCCTCCTCTCCCTCACTCCTCCTCCTCTCTTCTCCTCCCCCTCTCATCCTCTTCTCTCCTCCTCCTTCCCTCATCTCTTCTCTTCCTCTCCTCTTCTCTCCTCCTCCTCTCTCCTCCTCCCCTCCTCTCTCTCCTCCTCCTCTCCCTCACTCCTCCCCTTCTCTCTCATCCTCTCCTCCTCCTCTCTCCTCTTCCTCCCCCTCTCCCTCTCTCCTCCTCCTCTCCTCTGTCCTCCTCCCTCGTCCTCCTCTCCCTCTCTTCGTGTTTGTGTTTGTGTTTGTGTGTTTGTTCTCGGGGGAGGTGTTGAACCCTCCCACACATCACACAAACACTGGTCCAATTCCTCTGGATTATGTCGTCTTTATTAACTCTGTAAATCTCACTTTGCACACGGCACGTCTGCCCCGGCCGCTCTGCACACGGCACTGGAACAGCAGAGGCTTCGTTTTAAACCAGATGCCCCGCCCACATGTTTACACACACATAAACAGTCTTTCAAAATCTACCCGTGAAAGTAAAAAGTGTCAGGGTTTTGTGGACATACAGACATGAGAAAAGTTCCACAGTGCAGCTTTAGTCCATTAATCTCAACATTGTGAATCTCCATGACGACATGAAGACGTAGGACCCTCCACAAAAAGAAAGTTCGTAATGCAGCTTAGGTCAATTAACTTTAACACTGACAATCTCCATGACGACAAGAAGACATAGAACTCTCCACAAGAAAAGTTCCGTAATGCACCTTTAGTTCATTAAGTTTAACATTGTGAATCTCCATGACGACCAGTAGACATAGTACCCTCTAGGAGAAAAGTTCCGCAATGCACCTTTAGCCCATACAAGAAGATGTTGGACCCTTCATGAGAAAAGTTCCGTAATGCGTCTTTAGTTCATTAAGCTTAACACTGTGAATCTCCATGACGACAAGAAGCCGTAGCGACCCTCTATAAGAAAAGTACCACAGTGCAGCTTTAGTCCATTGCATCTCCATGACGACAAGAAGACATAGAACCCTCCACGAGAAAAGTCCCGTAATGCACATTTAATCCATTAAGTTTAACATTGTGAATCTCCATGACGACAAGAAGACATAGCTTCCCTCCATAAGAAAAGTTCCACAGTGCAGCTAACATTGTGAATCTCCATGACAACAAGAAGACATAGAACCCTCAATGAGAAAAGTTCCGCAATGCACCTTTAGCCCATTGACTCTCCATGACGACAAGATGTAGGACCCTTCATGAGAAAAGTCCCGTAATGCGTCTTTAGTTCATTAAGCTTAACAATGTGAATCGCCATGACAACAAGGAGACATAAGACCGTCCACAGGAAAAGTTCTGTAATGTGTCTTTAATGGACCCTTCATGAGAAAAGTTCCATAATGCATCTTTAGTCCATTAAGCTTAACACCGTGAATCTCCATGGCGACAAGAAGACATAGCAACCCTCCGCGAGAAAAGTACCACAGTGCAGCTTTAGTTCATTAATCTTTTCATCGTGAATCTTCGTGGCGATAAGAAAACATAGAACCCTCCAAAAAAAAAAAAGTTCTGTAATGCAGCTTTAGTCAATTAAGTTCAACATTGTGAATCTCCATGACGACAACAAGACATAGGACCCTTCACAAGAAAGGTTACATAATGCATCTTTAGTTCATTAATATTAACATTGTGAATTTCCATGATGGCAAGAAGACGTAGCAACCCTCCACAGGAAAAGTTCCACAGTGCGTCTTTAGTCCATTAATCTTAACATCGTGAATCTCCATGACGACAAGTAGACATTGGACCCGCCATGGGAAAAGTTCCGCAATGTGTCTTTAATGAATTAAGCTTAACATTGTGAATCTCCATGACGACAAGAAGCCGTAGCGACCCTCCGTGAGAAAAGTTCCACAGTGCAGCTTTAAGTCCATTGAATCTCCATGACAACAAGATGTTGGACCCTTCATGAGGAAAGTTCCGTAATGTGTCTTATGATCATTAAGCTTAACATTGTGAATCTCCATGACGACAAGAAAACATAGGACCTTCAATGAGAAAAGTGCCACAATGCAACTTTAGCCCATTGACTCTCCATGACAACAAGATGTTGGACCCTTCATGAGGAAAGTTCCGTAATGCGTCTTTAGTTCATTAATATTAACATTGTGAATTTCCATGATGGCAAGAAGACGTAGCAACCCTCCACAGGAAAAGTTCCACAGTGCGTCTTTAGTCCATTAATCTTAACATCGTGAATCTCCATGACAACAAGTAGACACAGGACCCGCCATGGGAAAAGTTCCATAATGCATCTTTAGTCCATTAAGCTTAACATCGTGAATCTCCATGACGACAAGAAGCCGTAGCGACCCTCCACGAGAAAAGTACCACAGTGCAGCTTTAAGCCAATAAGTTTAACATTGTGAATCTCCATGACAACAAAAAGCCATAGTGACCCTCCATGAGAAAAGTTCCGCAGTGCAGCTTTAGTCCATTAATTGTGAACTTGTAAAACACCTTTAGTCCATCGACTCTCCAAGATGATAAGAAAACATAGCATCCTCCACAAGAAAAGTTCCATAATGTGTCTTTAGTCCATTAAGTTTAACATTGTAAATTGCCATCACGACCAGCAGACATAGGACCCTCTAGGAGAAAAGTCCCAGAGTGTGTCTTTAGTCCATTGAGTGTCACAGCCCTTGAAGGTGGAGTATGGATTTTGCTGTTGCTGTAATGACCTGGTGCACTTGTTTACACACTTCGCTGCGTTAAAGGAGCTGGGAGCGTTAGCGTTAGTATAATTGCGCTGGGCCGTGGGTCCCTACAGGTACATACAGGAAATGACCGCCGCCACCGCCGCCGCCGCCGCCGCCGCCGCCTCCGCCGCCGCCTCCGCCGCCGCTAATTAAAGCGACGCCACGCTTCGTTAGGCCGCGACAGAACAGAGCGACGGAGCGGGAGACTGCGCACGATCTACGCCAGCTACAGGAAACACAGAGCCACACTTTAACTCTCTGTGCGGATAGATCGTGTACGCAGCTGTTCAGGGCTAAAATACGATCATCAGGAAGTGCACGGTCAGCATGCTAGTGGTAAGGGAAGATAAGGTACACTGTAATGTTCACTGTAAGCGGTAATTGGCTCTGGAATCACTTTGGAGCACTGCAGACTGTTTAAGAGGAACTATAACTCCTCTCCTCCTTCTCTCCTTCTCTCCTCCTCCTCTGTCCTTCTCTCCTCCTCCTCTATCCTCCACTCCTCCTCCACTATCCTTCTATACTCCTCCTCCTCTGTCCTTCTCTCCTTCTCTATCCTCCTCTCCTCCTCCTCTGTCCTTCTCTCCTCTTCCTCTATCCTTCTCTCCTCCTTCTCTATCCTCCTCTCCTCCTCCTCTGTCCTTCTCTCCTCTTCCTCTATCCTTCTCTCCTCCTTCTCTATCCTCCTCTCCTCCTCCTCTGTCCTTCTCTCCTCTTCCTCTATCCTTCTCTCCTCCTTCTCTATCCTTCTCTCCTCCTCCTCTGTCCTTCTCTCCTCTTCCTCTATCCTTCACTCCCCCTCCTCTCCTCCTCCTTTATCCTCCTCTCCTCCTCCTCTATCCTCCACTCCTCCTCCACTATCCTTCTATGCTCCTCCTCCTCTATCCTTCTCTCCTCCTCCTCTGTCCTTCTCTATCCTTCTCTCCTCCTCCTCTATCCTCCTCTCCTTCTCTCCTCCTCCTCTGTCCTTCTCTCCTCTTCCTCTATCCTTCACTCCCCCTCCTCTCCTCCTCCTCTATCCTTCACTCCTCCTTCTCTCCTCCTCCTCTATCCTTCTCTCCTCCTCTCCTCCTCCTCTATCCTCCTCTCCTCCTCCTATATTCTTCACTCCTCCTCTAGGAGGAAGAGAGGAGGAGACATGAGGGTTAAAGGAGATATTATAACGCTGGTGTGAGGAGGGGTGATATAAGGGAAAGGGGGAGAGAAAGAAAGAGATAGCGTGGAGTTAGAGAGAGGAGAAAGAAGGAGAGATAGAGGAGAGATTGGGGGTGGAGAGAGGGAGGAGCGAGAAGGTTTGAAGAAAAGAGGAGGAGAGAGGGGGACTGAAAAGGAGAGGGAAGAAGGGAGGACACAGAGAAGAGAGGTGGAGAGGTAGATGAAGGAGGAGGAGGAGGAGAAAGAAGAAGTAATTGGGAAACAAAGGAGGAGAGGAGAAAAAAAGGGATGAGAAGAAGAATGAAGGCTTGTTTAAACTCCACCCGAGCGTGAAGTGTATAAAGAGACAAAATGAAGCACTCCAGATGAAGGACAAACGTCTGAGAGTCCTCCACACAGACAGAGAGAGAGAGAGAGAAGCAGAGAGAGAGAGAGAAAAGAGAGAAAAGAGAGGGAGAGAAAGAAAAGAGAGACAGAGAAAGAGAGAGAGAAGCAGAGAGAGAGAGAGAGAAAGTCTCCTAAAATGAGAATGTTCCAGAGACTCATGGATCAATGTGAGAAACATCGGAGACTCACAGATCATTTATACAGACCAGGTTTGAGTTTGGAGCAGATCCTCTCCACGTCTGGAGTCTGGACCAGGTCTGGACCAGGTCTGGATCAGGTCTGGAGTCTGGACCAGGTCTGGACCAGGTCTGGACCAGGTCTGGATGGTTTCAGATTTAGTTTTGTTTATGTTTTAGTCACTCTGGAATTGCAGCTTTTCCATCATAATTTTACCTGAACTGAAACTAAAACTGCATGAAACACACACACACGCACACACACACGCACACACCCCGACACACACACACATACATGTTCAGGTGGGTATAATCTCATCTTGTGTGTGACTCTTTTGTCTCTTGTGTCTCAGGTGACAAAGACTTGGACGACTACTACCCTCGAAAACACCATCACCAGGACTTCCACGGCCCCGCCCACGGCTCCGCCCACATGATGAAGCTGAGTGCAGAGCCCTCCCACCAGCAGAGGCAGCGTCCTAGGGGCCGTGTGCAGAGGGCCATGTCCCAGGACCACGTGCTGTCTCCTCCCAGGACGCCGCGCAGAGACAGGGACGCCTACGGCCTGTCCCCGTACGGCGCCATGGCGACCAACGCCTACAGCAGCAGCAGGAACCTGTCCAACGAGCAGCTGCTGTCGGGTGGAGCGCCTGTCGCAGGACCCCCTGCTCCTGTCGGTGGAGCGCCTGTCGCAGGACCCCCTGCTCCTGTCGCCTGCCATGAGGAGGGACAAGTTCAGACAGAAGGCGATGGCGAGGGCCATGTCTCACGCAGACATGCTGATGCCCTCCACGCCCTCGCACGACCGCCACAAAGTCACCAAGATGCACTCGCAGCCCAGCGCCAACACCGAGTCCTACAACACCCTGAGTGTCAATCACCTCCAGCCCTCCGCCTCCAAAAGACACGCCTTCGCCTCCAGGAGAACTCACACTGTGGACCACCTGCAGTACATGTCTGGACACATGTCCCTCACCGGGAACGTGCCCGGAAACATGCCCGGGCACGGATATCGCAGCGCCAGCAAGAACGAGGTCACCGTCTGAGGGAGAGAGAGAGAGAGAGGGGATAGGGGGATAGGTGGAGGAGAGAGGGAGAGAAGGAGAGGTCACTGAGAGAGTCTCACGAGACAGAGAGACTAAGAGACAGTGTCCTGTCTTCTGCGGGCGTTTCTCTTGGTGTAGCTCATCCACAGGTTTGGAGGAACAAAAACATCTGAGACAAACGATTTTTGTACCTGAATCTCTCGGCCGGGTTTAGAGAGAGCTTATTTTTGCTGTCAATATCCAAGAGTCAAATCTTACAACAGGACAAAACCCAACCACAGTCTTCTTATTTAATCAAACCAATCACTTCCTCAATGTTAGAACTCTGGTCTGGTCTCTGGACCGGACCCTGGTCTGGTCTCTGGACTGGACCCTGGTCTGGTCTCTGGACTTTGGACTCTCTGAGGCCTCTGCGGGACTGTTGACAAAGAGAAGAGTATTTTTAAAGTGGACCTTGTCTGGACTGGACTTTGTAAAGACTCTGTCTATACTCAGTTTCTATGGGAGTCCTGGTCATAGCTTTAGACTTTCTGACTGAGCACTTTCCCATTTCAAAGACGAAGTGGTTTTGTGGGTTTAAAAGCACAATTACTGACTTCCTGTTTGATTTCTCTTCTTCATAAAGCTGCACAGCGGGACTTTTCTGGTCGAGGGCCTGTCCCCGGTTTGTCTCCGTTAAAATGCTTTTGCTTTGTCTGGAATGTTCCACTTTATAGAATTAAACGATTAGATCATAACAAGTGTAGATATTTCTCTAAAATATCTTGAAAACATGCTGTCTTACTGTGAATGGGCTCGCCTCTCCACTGATCTGACCTGTACCTTGGCCTGATAGAATCCGTGTATCATTCGTTCATTCATTTTTCAATATAAAACCAAAAATAAGTAAACGAAAAAAGAACAATTTTCTTCATTATTTGTCTCCAAATCCAAAATGAAAAAACAGATAACGATTCATTTTTTCAGTTTTCGATTTTGTGTTTAAACGAAGAATGGAAAAAAAAAAAAAAGGATAACGGTCGTTTACGTGACTTCCATGACTGCGATGCTGGACTTTTGCACTGCATATGGACTGAACCAGGACTGATCCAGGTCCGGGACCAGACCGGGACTAGAGCGGGACCAGAGTGGACTCCGAGCTTTGACTCTGATCCTCCGCGGGGTCTGAGCCTCAGCTTCGAGCTCTGGCCCTGCCGTGGGCTCTGAGACTCCGGTCTGGTCTCGGTCTCAGTCCCGGTTTCAGTCTCGGTCTGGCCCCGGTCTCAGTTCTGATCTCAGTCTCAGTCTGGTCCTGGTCTGGTCTCAGTCTCGGTCTGGTCCCAGTCGTGGTCTGGTCTCAGTCTGGTCCCAGTCTGGTCCCGGTCTGGTCCCGGTCAGGTCTCAGTCTTGGTCTCAGTCTCGGTCTGGTCCCGGTCAGGTCTCAGTCTCAATCTGGTCCCAGTCTCGGTCTGGTCCCGGTCTGGTCCCAGTCTCGGTCAGGTCTCAGTCTTGGTCTCAGTCTCGGTCTGGTCCCGGTCTGGTCCCAGTCTCGGTCAGGTCTCAGTCTTGGTCTGGTCCCGGTCTGGTCTTAGTCTTGATCTGGTCTTGGTCTGGTCCCGGTCTGGTCTCAGTCTCGGTCAGGTCTCAGTCTTGGTCTGGTCCCGGTCTGGTCTCAGTCTCGGTCAGGTCTCAGTCTTGGTCTGGTCCCGGTCTGGTCTCGGTCTCTTGCAGTCAAGGACGTCACGTAAACGGGAAACGGCCGTTATCCGTTTTTTCCATTCTTCATTTCAACACAAAATCGAAAACTGAAAAAAACAAATCCTTATCCGTTTTTTCATTTTGGTTTTGGAGACAAATAATGAAGAAAACAGTTGTTTTTTCGTTTTCTTATTTTTGGTTTTATATTGAAAAACGAATAAACAAATGACACACAGATTCTGATTACTAACATATAACGTTGCCATTACTAGAAATTCCACAATTTATCACAAAATCAAGTCAGAGTTTAGCGAGAGATTTTAATTTTAATTATTTTTTTTTCTCTCGTCCAATCATCTCGTTTCTTGGGATCTGTTCCGCGACGCTTTAGAAGTTTAATGTCATACTGTGGAACATTCCCGGCGAAGCAAAAACATCTCCATGGACACGACCAGGCGCTGTGCCCTCTCGCCAGAAAAAAAGTTCCACAGTGCGGCTTTAAAGGGCCAGAGCATATCCGCTTTTAGGAGGCTGTACTTCTGTTGATACGTAGATGATTGTACATAGGCTGAACTTAGCGGCGTAAAAACAAGAAAACTGGTCTTCTCTTTAAATATTAATTTTAGATAAGTTAAAGTCTTATATCCACAGATGTCCGCTCCGAGTGGGTGTAGAAATGCATTATGGGAGTTACCATGTTTTTGTGCTCTTAGCGGATAAGTGTAGTGCTGAACTGGCAGCTGGGATCACTATGGGAGACTAAAGGTCCTCTATTATCTATTATTTAGTGTTTTCAAACTACTTGACGACGTATAGCTTTGGGATTTTATATTGTAGAACTAACGAGCACACACGGGGAAAATATGAGGCGTTTTTGCTGAGGTAGCGAGGAAAGACGCAGTTTAAACATGATTTTTACTCTCTTAAAAATAGAGTTGTTCAGATACCGATACTGCACATTTTTCAGGTATTGTATCGGCGAGTACTCAGACCAAATCACAGATCCGATACCACTCTGTGTTTTCCTGAATGACGATCGTGGACGCGAGCAGCTGCTGTTTACGTCTGCGGCTAAGACAGGGATCTCCAACCTTTTTCCTGCGCTGAGTTACCTTTATAAAACCAAAAAGCCATAGTAAGACTTCGATGGGGTGCAGTTCGATAAAACATAAAACATGAACATTATTTATTTCTGAGTGCACAAAGTCAGGCCTCAGAATTATAGTTTTACAATAATAATGTGCAATAGACATTTAATTCATCAAATTTGAGTTAATCAGGACAATCTGTGTAATTCAGAAATCCCTCGGAGAGTTGGAGTTGGAGAGATACTGAGCTACAGGTTGGAGATGCCTGAGTTAAGGTGACCAGATTTTCAAAATTAAAAACTGGGACACCCCCGGTTTGTGGTGGTTGGTGATAATAAAAATGTGAAAGGAGTGCGGAATTAAGTAAAATTGTTCTGCACTCGGCCCATTCATGACAAACATGAGTCACTATTGTCACATTTTCTTTGTGTTTTAGTCGTTTTTAAGCAGCTTTTCTGTATTTAACCTAAACAAATGACAATTTATGGGACATTTCTTGTGTAAAACTGGGACAAACCACTGGTTTTGGCTAAATCTGCTGGGACAGGGGACACAGGGCAGAGTCTTGCATGGGTCCATTTTTGGAGACCCGCACCCGCCCACACCCTGCCCACACCTGCCCACACCGCCCACACCTGCCCACACCCGCGCAGTACAGCACCACACACGCCCGCTAACCCGTGATTATATCAAAGATAAATCTGCACCTGTCTGGACCTGTTCCACATTCCGTCCTACGCTCAACTCGTTCAACATTCCCCCCGTTATCCGCCCGTACCCCTGATAAATCACACACAAAGTTGCGCTGAAAGAGTTATTGTGAACTATTTCATAAGCATCGCTCTGTCATGCCCATGCTCCTCAAACCGTAAATGTTGCTGGGGAAAACTGCAGCAGTCTCTGTTAAGTGACATGGGCTCTAGTTAAAATATTGCAGCCTCCTGTAGACGACTGAACACACTGTGATTACCACAATTTCTAGATGATATATTTGCATATTATATATTTGATTCACCTGACCCCTCATACCTGCCCAGAAAAGTCCAGAACGTTAAAACCCAACCATTTCAGCAGCTATTTATGTACCTGTTGAGTGCAGGAATCAAAACTGGGACTGTCCAGTAAACTCAGATCAAGTTAAATACAGACTGTGGAGGTTCTACAGACATTTAAAACACTCTAATAATGACAGAAAAGACATTTGTTTTTTCCTCTTTGATACCTTCATTTAACCTTTGGTGTGAACACTCAACTCAAATAACCAAGCTACACTTCGCAGAGTGCAGCTCGAGAACAGCGCTAACTCCGACTTTATTTACTCTGCAGAATTCGCCATGTGCTCTGAGGATGAACTTAAATGGCCCATCTCATGCAAAATCAACTTTTCAGATCTTTCTACCTTCTAAGAGTGATGTGTGGGCCTTGTATTTGTCGCTCAAGTGGTTTTTAGATTGATTTGGTGTTTTTTTTTAAACAAATTTCAGCGTATTTCTGCCACCCTCCCACGTGACAACGAACTAAAGCTGCTACAACAATGATGCGGCAGATACACCTATGACGCATTTGATGTAGCAGAAAGCGTTTTGCACCCTCCCCCGCTCCACCACTTCCACCCTGCATCGACTGAGAATTCCCACATGAACACCTAAACAAAAGCGAAAAATCTACTAGCGTTTATTAATACTTTACCAATCAGTAATGTTCAGCTGATGTTGACTCGGTGCTTGAGCTTCGTGCTCCTCAAAGTCCTCGTCCGATTCCAGGTCCAACACATGTGGCTGAACGCGCTGTATCTCCATGATGAATAAAAGTTTATTCTACCACTATCAGGGCGCACGTCTGTCTCCCCCTCCCTCCCTGAGATGGGCGGAGGAAGGGCGGCTCACTCGTCGCCTACGTCACGTTTGGAGGGCGGAGCCTGTGCTTTCTCAGGACGGGCGGGGGGAGGAGCAATAGTCGGCCTTTCATAGTTCCTGGTCTGTGACTGTCTCCAAGAAATCAGTAAGATTTCAGAACTATTGTGTAATGGATGTTCCAAAACCCAAATTGTGCTTGTTTATGTGCAGAAGATACAATGTGAAAAGAGTTATTTTGTATGAGATGGGCCATTAAATTTTTAAAAAGTGCTTAAATCATACAGATACATACTTAAGCCCTCAAAATCACATTCTTATGCGTTTTCTTTAGAGACAATCTTTTAGTAGTTATTTTTTGCTCTTGTACTGTAACAAAACT